ATGGCTCAATGTTTGTAAATAAAAATTACGTATCTGACACTATGACCTCGATAGGACTATTCATGAACTACAACTGACAGGTATTCCCGCCCAGAAGCGCGTGTTGAAATAATTTCAGCTTCCCAATTGGTTCAAATTTGCATGAGAAAGGACACGACTATCGCACATGTTTTATGGCGCGAAGTTTTAATGAGATGCAAATGATATGCAAATGAGCGCGCTCCCATAGAGTTAACCATGGAGATTTTCGCTCACTGAAAAAACGTCTACATACAAAAAAACTAAACACAAATCAACCATTTTATTTTGACTAAAATGCACTAGTTCTTCTTAAATTTAGTATATTTTAAAGTCAACACATCATGTTACCCGGAATTGTTATTTTTAGTTACGAAAACGATCAAATGACAGGTGCGTAAATACTTTCTGACGGGTCTGTATATATATATATATATATATATATATATATATATATATATATATCCAGACAAATAGTGTCCTCCATTTAAGCATTAGTTAAGTGTCTGGAAAGACGTCCCTGTTTTTCAGAATTTGATATTGAAATTATGAATAATAGCCGTCATTAGCACTTTTATATATATATATATATCCAGACAAATAGTGTCCTCCATTTAAGCATTAGTTAAGTGTCTGGAAAGACGTCCCTGTTTTTCAGAATTTGATATTGAAATTATGAATAATAGCCGTCATTAGCACTTTGAACTGTATTTGAGCTTAAAGACTTGGCGGTCTCTGTATCTTGGATAATTATATAAAAATATATAATTATATCATAATATAATCGTCAAAAATCGCTAAGAATGAATGAAAAACAAATAGCTAACAAGTCGAAAAAGTACTCAGTGTGAGGGGGCACCTATTTTTCGTAAAAATGCTCATTTCCGTATTTTGGCTGAAAGTTGTGAAGGTACACTTATTTTTTCAATGTGGTATCCCCGGATTGATTTGCTTATATCTTTTACATACAGTGAAAGCAGTTTAAAGCGACACATTCTTCGCACAGTATTGGGAGAATTATTATTTCCAAACATGCAGCGCCCTCAAGTGGATAAGCGTTGCCGTGCTGTTAAATGACGTTACTTCGCTGGCTTCCGGCGTCTCTTGCGAATGAAGTAGGACGCAAGTAACTAATAATCGCCATATTGTTCCACTGTGCCGGGATTCCGGACAAAGTCACGTAACTAAGTGACGTAATTTAAAAACATTATAATATTCGTTTTCTGTAAACAAGTCATATTTG